AGTGAATAACTCAGTGGAACATTTCGCAGCTTCACAGGATCTTACAGATCTGGTCAATGTGAGACCTGTTAACAACATGAACCAACGAAATGAGCTAGCGAAAATGTTAAATGTCCCCTCCAAACAGCGAACAGTGCCGAAGGCAGCGTTCAGACTTGTCGCGCTTCAACGCGCTTCATTGTCGCGCTTCAACGCGCGCTGCTGCCCTTGAACACGCTACATTACACTCCAATTGTACCAGACCCAGCTTCCCTTTATGTTCCTTCTTCCGGTCAACCCCTTTTTTTGCTGTTTCTCATTTCTACCTGATTCTTAGCTCCTCTTTTTCACTTTAACATTGAATGTTGCGTACGCGACAAGTCTGAACACGCGTGTTCACTGTTCGCTGTTTGGAGGGGACATTTAACATTTTCGCTAGCTCATTTCGTTGGTTCATGTTGTCAACAGGTCTCACATTGACCAGATCTGTAAGATCCTGTGAAGCTGCGAAGTGTTCCACTGATCCACTTTGCTCACGAGAGTTGGCAGGTCTTCACAATGTGGTCTGTACAATCTTTCCATTAGCTGATACCATCTGGTGCTCCCACAAAGCTGAAGTGAACCAGTTCTTCCACTAAGGTTAAGCGTGGCGTGTAGGGAATATGACCCCACTCCCTCCCCTATTCGTCTACAGATGCGGCTTCCCAAGAATTCCTTTCTTTTTTCCCTTTATTTTTTTCCTTCCAAGAGTGAGGATATAAGGATAGGGCAGACATCTTCGATCGTTTATCCCTACTATATATTTATAACTTGCTACGTATATTTGTCTTTAGTTTTTTAGTTGTCTATACGGTAATCGCTACTACCAGAAGGGGGCCTTGGAGGGGCCCGATCATGTTAGGGTGGGTGAGGCATGAGTGTAGATGTACGGAGTACGCGCGAGCTATGCTAAACCCCACGCGGTAGGTGGGGCATGCGCCGAAAGTGAGCGGTGGCAAAACAAAAACTTTGTTTTACTGCAGAACAGCTGAGAGACCTAGATAAAGTGAGGATAAGGGCGCTAATAACCTCTGTAGGGCACTTGAGGGTCCCCTTTTGCAAACTGGGATCAACGTCATCTGTATGGGTCATCGTACTCGGGACTGGTCCAACCATCCCGGAGCTCCTACCTTCTCTAGTTATCTGTGTTGCGGTAAATTTAGTTTTACACAGGAAGTTCTGTAAATACCCCCCTCCTCGAAGGTTTTTACCGCTGAAGTGGAGGGAGACACGCTCGCAACGGGGCTAGACCTGGTCTATATAGGCAGAAATGGCGGAACCGCGGGTCCCTAAGAAGTCCGCGACTAACCTTTCGCACAGAAGCTTCCCTTGTACAAGGCGACCCTGTCCGCAATCGCAGAGCATTTCCCGGAGAATTTCGCAGAGCATTTTCATACAGTTTCATTTTTGCAGGAAAATCCTCATCACAAATCATCAGAGGATGTTGGATACCCCAAATTGGAGCGATCGGCTTCAGCGAAATCTTCAGCAAATCAATCTCGTCACACCCACAATGAAACCGTTCCATTAACGACTGAACCTCCTATAAGGATCCGGCAACTCAACAACAAAAATGGTAAATTATACCGAAACTGTGTTTGAAGCGTGCTGACACACAGTGTGTTACAGAGCTTTCGGGCCGCTCAATCACAGCACGTGTTCGACCAAAATCCTGCGTTGTAGGTGTCGTAGCTTCGAAATTTCGTCATGTTGAAACCTTGATTGGACCTAGGGCGAATAATACGATATTCACGAACATACGAAATGTGAATACGCAGCTTCCACTGGAAACGAACGGCGCTTGTACGAGTGGAAAGGTGGTTTTTCTTGAAGGGGTAGCCTAGCAAGTGCTTTCTCGTTAAATTTCTTTTCTTAGTTTGTCGCTGTACCACTGAAAGGTCCTGCTGGTGTTGTGGGTATCTACGACGTAGAGAAGCCCGGAAAACTTCCAGATGGTGTCATGGATGGTATATTCAACAAAGCGCAGGTTTGTTCTAATGGTTACGTCTCAAGAAACTTCATTTTGCATTTCATAAAGTGTACTGGTTGTTCACCTCCCCGCAAGACCTTTTACAAATTACGTAAGATATTGTGTGCTTTTTGTGACTTGACGCTATCATTTTATGATGTAAGGAAGCTTGATGATGGTAATGTGAATTAAATAAAATCCAAATAAGACGATGTTATATGCAGTTGAAAAGCCTTCTCAAAGAGCTCCCTGCTCAAGCCGGCCGCCATTTGCCCATCAGTCCCACACCCCTGCGCTCAACTCTCTTGAAGTAGTTGCTCATGGTGGTCCTCACTCCCTACACTCTTCAGTTCTCAACGAAATTTGTAGTGTTTTTCTCGATGGTGCGCTTGACTCGCTCACCGCTCTTTTTTCGCATTTAAACACATGTAATATAGCTCGTCCTCGCGTCTTTTCTTCATGGTTAAGGCTATTGTCACTGCTCACTTAGTCAAGTCGATCTCCACTGGAATCCTTTCGACGATGAGGAACTGGCGGTGGGAACAGATGTGGGCCTTATAAATTTCTGGCGTTTAACGAGAGACGATGGACCCAGAAATGAAATGGCTCCTGAGAAAGTGATGAATGTTGGAGGCGAGAAGGTAAAGCCTCTTTATTTCTCAAACAAACAGGAATATGCCGTATTACTTGCCATGGTTACCCGTCATTAGCACCGTATATTTCGACACGTTCAACATTATAACCATTATACACCAGTCTTGTTCGTTGCGATACGGCGGTTTTAGGGTTAGGCGCGTTTTCCACCAATTGGCTGGCAAGCGATTTCCGCAACTGCGTGAAAATTGGACTGGCACCACGTCAAGCCTAGCCTCCCTGACATACTCCAGCATCCGCACCGAGAAAGACTGTTTATAGTCCATGTCTAAGGGCAACAAGGGGCTTAGCTGCAAGGGTCCAGACGAAACAGTGTTGCAGACGTATGCAAAAATTGCATCGTATGTGAAGACTAGTTCCCAGTAGGTATATAGATTTGAGCTATGGCTGATCTGAAACGTGCCTTGGACGTGTGCGCTAGTACTTAATAACCATCCTGCATGCATACGTATGTAGTGTCGAGTCTGATAGATTTCAAGAAGAAAAGCGAGGAATTTTACTTTTTGAAGATCCTATGTTTCCAATGGCATCCGATGGCTTCTGACTTACTGGCCGTTGCTCTGTCAGACAGTTCGATAGAAATATGGGAGTCAAAGACTTTGACAAGGAGAAGACGGTGAGCCACTTATCATTAGCTCTTTGTTTTCCGAAAGAAAAACTGTACAGTCACATGCGATGGCGGTCTTACACAAGTGTGAGACTAATGGGGCCGCAGCTGGAGTATCGTGCCACTTTCTCCGCTCAAAAGGGGCAGGGGGTTGTGGTACCCAGGTGCCCTCACCATTCTCTGCCTGGCTGTCCTCAGGCGGCACCCTATTGCTGCTGGGCCCCATTCACCTCACACATGGCAAGGACCAGGATCCACGCGATTGAGAGTAAAGTTTGCCTTCGGCCATCATTCCAGTTCAGGATAGTTTCGCATTCTGCTAATGTGATGGCGTTGGGATGGAGTTCAGATGGACACCGACTCGCCTCGCTTGGCAAAGATCTCATGTTGAATGTGCATCAACCACAGCTCGGCAATGAGTGTCTCTTGGGACAGAAAAAGGTGAGAATGTTCAATTACTATGTACTTGCATTTTATTGTTGAGCCTCTTTACTTTGGATATTCGTTTTTATTCCTACCGTTCTACTATCGTTTCTTTGAGTGAATAGCTTCAAACAGGTGCTTGATCGTGCGCACTCAGGACGAGTCCTCTACGCCTGTGATGATCGGTTAATTATTGTTGTGGGGATGACGAGAAGTTCTTCGCGTCAGGTGTGTCTTCTGTAGCTCTTCTTATTTGTTGTCCCTTTACGTTCGTATCGAAGGTTTCCAGATTGTCATTCGTCTCTCTTTTGTGTTCATACTTTGCGTCTGCGTTTGGGCATGCGGCAGCGTTCTGAGCGTTTCGAGTGTACGGCAGCGTTTTGAGCGTACACCAGCGTATAAAAGCGTTTTAAGCAACTAGGAAAGTAAGGATATCGATCTAGCGTTATCGTCTGAGCGTACGCCGGAACTTTCAGACCGCGGAAATCCAAAGCTACCTGCAAACGCTCAAAACGCTAGATCGGTACCTATACATTGCCAGTCGCTTGAAACGCTCAAAACGCTGAAACGCTGCCGTACGTACACTCAAAACGCTGACGAAAGTATGAACGTAGCCTTACTAATGCCCTTTCCTTCTTTGAACTTCTGCCTCCATATTTCCATTTTTTTCTCGAGAAAGCTATTCCACGCAATTATTGAGCCAGCTCGTGATTAGTTTGACCAGTGAACTTGCTTTTTACGGTAACGTAGGATAATTCGGCCTCGGTTTTGATCCACCAGGCTTTTTTTCACTTTCTCGACGTTTTCCGCTATCCTCTGAGCTACTTTCGGCGAATACTTAGGTAGATGTGCTTGCTACCTTTCAAGCAATACGTGAGCCCACGACG